AATTGAAACCAACCCTAAGCTCTTTTTATCTCCGCCCTAAAGGTAGCCCCGATTATTGCTGACTTAAGTATCGGAGTGTCTACCCCGAGTTCCACCTCGGGGCTTTGCAGGTCATCCCGGAGTGCAAGCGCGGACTGAAGAAGAACTTCTGGTTTGATGCAATTACAGGTTTCTTCTTCACTAGAAAACTAGAAAAGTGATGGAGATTGAAGAATGGAGACTGGACTGGAGAATGGAGAATCGATGGACTCATGGAGACTGGAGAGTGGAGAATAGAGTTTTGTTTGTCTTAAGATTTTGTTTTTGTGGTGGAAATTGGAAAAAAATGGTTGAGTTTGAGTGTCACGGTGTCATCGATTGTTGGAAAGAAAAACAAAAAAAGGTTGCAGCGAGCAATTCACCCGGTGATTTTTTTGGGTTTGACAGGCAGAATGGGTCGACAGTTTTTCCGAATCTGGACGGCCTGATTGTCCAAACGAGCCTAGGCATCCACTCTACCCTTTTTAACAACCAAGTGGTGGTTGAACTAGTTAAATCGATCGGTCCAGTTTGATTTTGAAAACATTGCTTATGAGTTATCTCATCAAAATTTTCTACTTGTAGCTTGATAGTATACAAACCAATCAAACTCCTTAACCATACCACTTTAGGCATGACACAATCTTTAAAATAATGAATTGCAATCTCTATCTCCTCTTTACTAAATAGGCAACAAAGGTCTATGTTCACATTTTTTCAAAGATTATCCTTTGATAAAAGAACCCCTTAACATGCACTCCATACCAAAAGCTTAACTTTCTCCCATAGCTGTAGTTACCAAAAGTAACATGCTTTAAAGCATCCCACAAAACATAATGGCACACTTTCCCCTATCTCCCTAGCTAGAATAAGCAATACAATACTCTTTTCTTATGTATTAAATGCTACTACACTCACCCATCTTTAATCCTACTCCAATTTAAGGGGATAGATAAAATCCTTTATGCATCATATTTAGAAAATGTCTTATTCACCAAGTCACGACACCATGCATAATTATCATTATTTGTTAAATCATTTACATATTGCCACTCACACTCCTCCAAACAAGTCGATGAAATCTTAAAGCCTAAGGTCCCAAGAAGCACTAATCCTCCCATATGTTAATATGCCTACCAATGTTACTGACGGTGCCATATGCCATAAGGCAACAAGCTTGTACTTAAAGCCTGGGCGGAGCCTCAGCAATCTGTGTGCCATTTTTTATTTTTTATTTTTTAAAATTTCATAAAAATTCAAAAAAATTAGAAAAAATAAAAAAGAAATCAAATAAGCGTCTAAAAAAAATTTCAAAAGTAAAAATAGCAATTTTCTTTACTTTATCTTCGTTAGCTTCCATAATATATTAATTTAGAGAGATTAACTTGCCCATTTCATGTTAATGTGCAAGTGTAATAAAAGAGAAGCATGCATATGAGACAGAACATAAAGTAGAGGTTACAAAGATACTGAGAATCTGAGATAAACAAAAGAGAAAAGCACCATAACCATCGAGTCATCACAACAATCTAATAAACAAAAGGAGACCAAGAGTCCAAGACCATGACCATATCCATTGTCCGAACTTGGTAGCTTATACAAAATGTAATATACTAAATCAAAATTAGTTAATAATATTATTATGATTATCTGCATTCTTTTCAAAATCTCGGCAGCTTGGAACTTCATACCTTGTAACATCCCTGCTTGTTAAAAATAACCAAAATTGATAATGGTAATATGATAAGTAACTTATACATAACATTATTGATGCATATTATTTAGATGTAGAACAAACGATCCATATTTGCATCTTACTTCTACGTTATATATATGATATGATAAGAAAAATGGAAGGTTGAAATGGTCAGACTCAATTTAACATATGATTATCAAGTTTTAAGAAAATAAGCATAAACTCAATTCGATAACTATAACAAATGATCAAAAAAACTGCACGTTAATTTAACCTTTAACTTTAAAAGGTTTTCTAGTGAAATGAAAGGAAATGAAATAGATGGATGGAAGACCATTCTTGATTAATTGAAATCACACACAACATTCATAATTTATTAATTTCATCCTCAAATTCAAAATCCTCATCCATCTCAATGTTAATTTCAATATCTAAGGTTTGATCTTCATCTTCATCATTATTTGGAAAATTTTCTTGGGAAGCAGGCTAATCTTCAGATGATGACTCATCTAAATCTTCGTTAAGCTCTTTAATTGGAGGAGGAACAAATCTATTTCTTCTTCTATGCTTCAAAAAAGAAACTAAACCTAAAGCTATAAGACCAAATAAGAAAAAGCAAGAAAACTAAATTAAAAAAAATTACAATTTATGAAAATATCAACTCGTATCATATCATCCTAAAAAACCACAAGACCAACAAATATCAACCCTTTTGTTTGTGTTCTAGAATTATATCTAGAGTTGTCAAAATAGAGAGTTTATGTAAAATCATTTGGCTAGGTAACATTAGAATCATAAAATTGAATATGTAAAATCAAACAACAATGAACTAGATGTAGAGTTGTAATTGACTAGTTGGAATCCAAATATCCAATAACACAAAAACAAATAAAGTTGTTTTAATATCTGTAATTAGTTAAATGAGCTACAAATAAGATTAAATAACATAGAAATGGACATTGTTTAAGACAAACTAAAATAAATCATGAATACTATATTTATCAATATCAATGTCATGGCTACAACCACCATCATCATCAAAATGTGGAACATTGTCAACCCCTGAATCAGTTGAATTTTCATTGCTATTATTCTTAATCTCTTTCTATAGTTGGCCGCCACTATAAACTTTTTCCGTTTCATCTTCAATAGATTGCTTAGCATCATTTTCAACTAATCATTTATCATCAGACGGAAGATCTTCAAATTCCATATTCTAATTCCTTTGTGCCTTCTTTTCTCTTAATTTTAAGTTATACATAACAGAAACCAAATCATTTATTGTCTTTTGGTGCAAACGGTTTCTCCTTTTTGTATGCACCTAAAAAGGAGAATCAAATAAAGATGTGAATAAGGAAAAACAAAATGCAACAGAAAATTAAAAAGGCCAACTGATACCATATTTATTTTTTAAAAAATAAATATAAATAAATAATAAGTGCCTTACCATTTCAAAAGCACTCCAATTAGGCTAACATCCCAAAGAGCTACATGTCAAGCTAAGAATACAAATGGCAAATTTTTTCAACTCAGGGGTTTCATCTTAAAAAAAAAATCGCACCACTCATCAGGTGCCTTTTCATCCTTACCTATCACTACAATTAGAATACCAAAATGCCTCTTTCATTCTTAAACTCTTCAAGTTGTAGATCAATTTTAGATTTTTCCTCACAACTAGCAACCAATCTCTCTAAGCAAGCATACAAGGCTTGTTTTATTGCTAATCCATCCCTAAAAACTCGACTATAATGAATCTAAATATTAAGATAAAGGTAACAACGTATAAAAGCTTGTGAAGTTGAAATTTCCACCTTTCATCAACGATTTTCAAATAGGTTTATAACTACAAAATATAAGAAATAAACCAATTAAATTAAAACATATAAATATAATATAAGTAAAAATGATAACACATATAAGAAATCAATAACATATATAATAAACATAGGAATTTTGCAACTTTTTCTTAACATGGTTGAAATTAATCTTGACCTTTTCTCTTGCCCTTTTCATCTCAGAATAAAGAAAGCCCATTGTTGGTTTTTTCGTGCTCTCCACTAGGTTCCCATCCTTTGTGCATGCACACCTACTAGACTTCCATGTTTTGGAAGAGAACATGGTCATTAATCCTCCTTTAAGCTCATGAAGACAAGCCAAAGTAAGATATGTAGTGATAAATTTAGTTGTTGCTAGTCTAAGATATGTAGTGATAAATTTAGTTGTTGCTAGTCTAATCAAATCCCTTCCTTTTTTGAAATTTTTTTAGTATATTAATAAAAATAGTCCTTGTGTAAATATAAGCTATAATCCTTCTTCCCCTTGATATGGTTTCATGGTGGACATCTATTTTCTCTTCAAAGTCTTCCAAAATCAAATCAAGAAAAAGGCAGCACATGAAGTCCAATATAAGTGTTTCCTCTTTTGCATTAACATTTCCCCAGTAGCCTTGTAGCTTGCAACATGGTTAATAATGACTTGCACAACACTTTCTTCTTCCACCTCCTCTACAACCATATCTAACATCTCAAACACCTTTTTAGCTGTAATACACCTCCCTTAGGTACATTTAGTCTTAATGAGAACTATAGAAAAAGATTGTAGTGGAAGTAAAAAAAAAAAAAACTCTTCTTATGTAAAATGTTACTTAAAGGAAAAAATTTGCTTTCAAATCAATTTAAAATTTGATAAAAGGAAAATCAATTACTTGTAATGAAAAACTAATTTAACGAAAAATATCTTAAGAAAATATCAAAATATTCAAAGTAGTAAAATAAACTAAGCTAATCCCATTTTTTATTAATTTAAATATTATTTACATATAAATAATTTACAAAAAAAAAAAAGAAGAATAAATGCTTTTAAAAAACTTTCCAAAATAATAAAACAAAATCATTGTTTTAATAACACAGTGATCTACCTTCACATTAAAGGCACTGAGGTCTTAGCTCCTACGTACAACAAGCATACGGGACTTATACTGAAAGCTCTCGAGCTGGTGACTGCTACTCCAATCTACTAATCTAAAATGTGGGGAATATCATGAGTTAAAAGCCTAATAAATATTCAGTTAAAGCTATAAACTTAGGTCTTAGAACCCTTAGACCTACACACACAAAGAACATAATAGATAACTAAACCAAACCATATAATAACATAAGTCTCAGTATTTAAATAATAACTTAATATCATAAAATAGCTCTTAGACAACAAAACATGTCAAGAAATAGCTAGTGGCATTTGATTCCAAGTTCAAGTCATAAAATCATATGTTCACAAATGAGATGTCACAAGCAAAATGTATAAAAAAAAATCACAGAATGCTATGGAATCCATTGATGTGTGCTGGCAACCCCAGTTACTCCATAGCCACAAACACATACATATGTCAAACAAATTTAAAACACATTCAAAATAATATAAGAATATTATTTCATTTAATATTTCACTTACTCAATTGCATTTCCAAAGCAATCCATAATTTAAATATCTTGTGTCTAACTGTAGATTTCACTAACAAGAGTTAAAATTGATTTCTTATTTCAAGAATAGAATTAATGCATGATTAATCAACCAAAACTCAAGTGCAACAAGTCACAAGCAGCTCCCAAACTCCAATTAAGCATTCATAGGCTTTGCTTTATCATGCAATTTCCAAAAGTCTTCACATAAATATACAAGGATATATCAAAACATCGATAGCTAGTAATTAACCAATAAAATTCACACAAAATTCAAGCCTAAAACTTAAACCTACTTCTAATTCAAAATCGTACATATACCCAAAAAGTCTAAATATTTCTAAACAAAATTCTAATTGTAACATCCCCTTTTTGGTAAACCCTTTGGTTTACCAAGTAGGGAAATGTACC